TTATAAGTACCCTAAATGGAGTTACCCCAATCATAACCCTACTTATGAACGACTTACTAAGTCCCCTGCCCTTCCAAGTAAGGTACCCTCTTTCCCAAAGCCCAATTCTGGGAAGGCATGCCCCGAAGCTGATCAAGATGGCTTCTGACCCCAAGCTTCAGGACAGGTTGGACTGAAGTTGACTTAGGAGTTTAGGGTTTAGGCTCCAGTGCATGAGCATACGGTGCGTGAGTGGAGTTCAGGTCAATTCGTGGTTCAGGACTGCAGTTGTTTTGGGGTTTGGGGCCTTTGGTTGCGCAAAAGACCCCAAGCTTTCAGTTCCCAAGCCCTGGCTGGTCCAGAGCTTGGTCGACGGGAGCGTCAGGAAGCCCGTACTTGGAGGTTCATGGGTAGTCATAAGTAGGGTTATATGTAGGATAACTATGGTTATAACCTGTGTTCGGGGACTTTTAACTACCCATGAACCTCCAAGTAAGGCTGAAGCTTGAAGCTAAGCAGCTCCTTAAGGATCGTGACATTTGAATCCGACACCCTGAATCCTAAGCCCGACCCGAAATCCTAAGCCCGGAATCCAAAATCAAACCCCTAAACCCCTAAACCCCTAAACCCTTAAACCCCTAAACCCCCCTAAACCCCCAAATCCTAAACCCCTAAACCCTAAACCCCTAAACCCTATACCCTAAACCGGCAGATCTTCAACCTCCAAAGCGCGACGCAGGATCAAGAGCTGAAAGTGGCGGCCATCACGGCTCTTGGCCAGGAGGGGGAAGGGGGCCTTACTATAGGGGCCTAACTAATTACCAATACTATGGTGGGGGTTCCTTATTATATTTATAGTTTATTGGGCCCCAAAACCCTATTCTAATTATTCCAAGGGTAAAAGGAGGGACCCTTAATAAGGATTCCTAGGTATATACGTCCCCATCAAGGATCCCTCCTTTTCCCCTTTGAATTATTAAGGCCCCGATATTACAACCCTAAGCGGGCTTCGGGATCTGTTTAGGGATCTGTGGTTTGGTTTGGGGACAAAGGTTTAGCCCTAAACCGTAAGCCCTAAACCCTAAACCTTAGGACCCTAAACCCTAAACCCTAAACCCTAAACCCTAAACCCTAAACCCTAAAAAAAAAAAACCTTAGGGCTTATAATAAAGGGGTGAGGACCTGAGGTTTGGGGTAACGTTTAGTTTAGTGTTACACATGAAACCCTAAAACCCTAAACCTTCGGGTTTATGGGTTCAGGGTGTAGGTTTGCGGAGCAAGGAGTTGGGGGATGCTTCAGAGCGCAGTGGTTGCAGAGACGAAGGGGTGGCCAGAGTGCCTGCAGCACGGTGCTGAGGGTTCAGGGTTTAAGGGTTTCCGAAGCCCCAAGACCCTAACCCCGGAAAGCCCTAAAGCCTGAAAGTACGAAAGGCCAGAGGCTTGAGGACACTTTTTGATCTCGGTTTCAGGGACGGTATGCCTCTCTGTGTCAGAGCCTTATGGGTCAAAGGAGCTCTGCAATCATCCATTACTTGGAGGTTCGCGGGTAGTTACAAGTAGGGTTATGAGTGGGATAACTATGGTTTTAACCTACATTAGGGACTTATAACCCAACTTATGACCACCCTTGAACCTCCAAGTAAGCACGGGTTTGCAACCCTGAGCCGTGCCGAACCTCGGAAGCCTAAACCCCTACCCTAAACCCGAAGCTAACACCTTCCCTGAACCAAGAAGGCCAAACCCGGAGACTCCAATATCCCTTAGTTAAGGAGTATACCTTAAATCATATTAGGGATCCTACTATAATCTAAAGTATATTCCATAATTAAGGGATATTGGAGCCTTTGGGAACCATCCATAAGCCGGAAGGTAGGTGGTGACCTGACGCAAGTCCCGACGGTGGCAGCCCTGCTGGCTGACGCCTCGGTCCAAGTCCAAGGCCAGCGGGAAAAGGACTTAATACAGGGGCCTGAAAAATTACCAGTAGTATTTTCGCGGTTCCTTAAAATATTAGAAATAGAACAAATAAAAAACTATTTTTGCGGTTCCTTATTATAGTTATAATAGAATGAAACCCCAAACCCTATTCTAATTCTTTTCAAGCTTTTGCGACAAGGCTTTGCCGACTATTAGCTCGGAAGTCGAGCATGTAAGGTTCGAGATTTGGGTTTAGGGGGGCTTGGGGGGTTTAGGGGGCTTATTTAGGGTTTAGGAGGGTTTAGGGGGCCTTAAGGTTTAGGGTTTAGGGTTTAGGAGGGTTTAGGGGGCCTTAAGGTTTAGGCTTTAGGGTTTAGGAGGGTTTAGGGGGCCTTAAGGTTTAGGGTTTAGGGTTTAGGAGGGTTTAGGGGGCCTTAAGGTTTAGGGTTTAGGGTTTAGGAGGGTTTAGGGGGCCTTAAGGTTTAGGGTTTAGGGTTTAGGAGGGTTTAGGGGGCCTTAAGGTTTAGTTTGCAGGCCTTCCAAAGGCTACGTACCTGCTGAACAGGCACGTGAATTTACGTAGCGCTAAACCCTGCAGCCCAGCCAAAAGGCCCAAAGCTCTAAACGTAAACCCTAAGCCCTTTCACACTGGTGTGGGCCGGTATCGGTTGGCTCGGATATGCCTGGACTAGCACACTTCAAACATTGCCCTAAACGCGTAGATTATTGGGGCTTGCAGAGCGGAGCCAGGATCTCACATACGGAGGAAGGTGCGGATAGAACCCAAACCCCAATCTCTAAACCCAACAACCTATTACCTAAACCCTACTTGGAGGTTCATGGGTGGTCATAACTGGGGTTATAAATCCCCTAATATAGGTTATATACATACTTATCCCACTTAAACCTCCAAGTAGACTGTAAGCCTACACTGCAAGAGCCGACATTTCGAAGTCTTTGCACTGGGGGCCTTCCTCGGCTTGCAGGGAACCTAGTATGTGTAAACCGCTTGAGTCGAGAGCGGGTTTGAGGTTTTAGGGCTTGGGGAAAGCTGTGCATCCGACGGTATACCCTAAACCTTAATCCCACACCCCAAAGGCCCTACCACTAACCAAGCAGGCGCTGCCTGCTTGACCTTGACAAGCTACCAAGCTGCAGGGTCTGGGGTTTAGGGTTTAGGGTTTATAGGGGTTTAGGGACTGAGGGTCCAGGGTTGAGGTTCAGGCGTGTGATGCCTGCACCAGCGTGTAAATCTCTATAAGTCGTCCTGAGGGTTCTACAAGGGTGATACTAGAGTTGCTGCAAGGGCTCTATAAAGGTTCTATGTGATAAGTGCTTGCAGGGGTTACGGTTCTGCAGTGCTATCGTGAGCGTGAAGAATTTACTAGTTAATGGTTTAGGGTTTAGGGTTTACCATTGCCGCTAACACATGAATGTAAATATTGCGGTTACCAGTACCGTTGCCATTAGTATTACTACTAGTTACTATGACTATGACGATTACTAGAACTGTTATTATTCCTATCACCATTACTATTACCACTACTATTACTATTACTGGGCTGCATGCCGAGTTGTGAAGCTTTGCGGGAGACGGTTTGTTGTTTCACGTCAGACTCGAGGTTCAGTCTCATCATAGGCTCGTCTTCATCGCTTTCACCATGATGGTTAAGCCATTTTGGGGTTTCGGGTTCATGGTCATCATCATGACCCATCAACTACAGCACCCGTAAGATGATGAAAGTCGTCAACATGAATTGAATCGTTGCTACGATTGTCGGCGTCGAGGTGCAGCTCCACTAGAGCCGTCCATCACAGCGACAGTCGTTATCAACGTAATCGGAAGGACAGTCATCCTCCTCCTCGTCATCGTCATCATCAGCCATCATAACCGCCACGGCCGCCACCGCCACCGCCGCCGCCGCCACCACCACCATCATCATCATCATCCTCATCCTCATCACTGTCACCATGGCCATCACCATCGCCAACACCATCATCATCATCATCATCATCATCGTCGTTATCACCGTCACCATCTTCATCTTCATCACCATCACCATCATGATCATCATCATCACCATCATGTGGGTAGTTAAAATGGGACCATAATTTTGACAACTAGCCATGTACTTTTTTGTTTTGCTTTGTGACCAGCTGCCACAAGTACGTGAACATACTGCAACAGGTGGAGTGTGACATGTGGTTTGATGTTTTGCATATGTGCAGGGGCTGCTGTTTCATGGAAATGCGCGGCCTCCTTCTAGCGTTACAACCGACCTATCCAAAGCATCGGTGATATGATGCAAGGTCTGGGACCTTTCGCAGAGGAACATGCCTCCACCATCGCCGCCAAACTCGAGCAGGTCTTGAGCGCAGATTGGTCCACTTTCCTGTGCGTTTCTTATGCAGAACTCACGGAGGAGCCATAGCAACATGCTGCGGAATCGTGACAGCCGCAACGACTGCGTCTCTCACTCTCTCTACATATGTATATATATATATATATATATATAGAGATACACATACATATATACAGATATTCACAGACACATACATACTTGGAGGGGCAGGGGACTTAGTAAGTAGGTTATAAGTAGAGTAATAAGTATTCTAAATGGAGTTACTTGGAAGGGCAGGGGACTTAGTAAGTAGGTTATAAGTAGAGTTATAAGTACCCTAAATGGAGTTACCCCAATTACAACCCTACTTATGAACGACTTACTAAGTCCCCTGCCCTTCCAAGTACCCCTAGTTATGAACGACTTACTAAGTCCCCTGCCCCTCCAAGCACAGTAAATATTCTCCTTTGGCAGGCATGCCCCTAGCCGTGACAGAGCATGATCTGACTTCTTGGTACCGCCAGAGGTATCCCTTTGTTTCCTGGAGGTGGCTGGCTCGAAGCTGCTCCCACTCAGGGGCCTGTGGTAGAGTAAATAGCTCTTAGTGATGCAGTCCGCAGCGCGTGACGAGCCGTCCTTTGAGCCGGATATTCTGGAGCTTGTCTCCCCGGAGTTTATCTCCCCGGAGGGCTCACAGGCGTCCGTAGGGAATGATGATGCAGCCAAGCCACGGGAAGAGGTCATTGCCATCCATTTTCCGAAATGAAAGCATTACGCCCCGAAGCTGTGCGAGCAACATACGTTTTTCAGGCACTGCAGAGGGCGGGCAGAGCGCTGAGGGGAGGCACGAGTGATCTTTACCACTTGAGCCACGCAACAACGCGCATTCATGCTTTCTGGTCACACAGCTGGCATGGCAACAAGTGGATGAAGGTGGCAACTCTCCTGTTCCTCAGCAACTCCACGCCCGCAGCCTTGATGGGCCTAGCGGCTTCGGTTCTGACAGCTCTGGCTGTTCAGTACAACTGGATACGATCCGACAGCTCTGTGAATTATTGGTGCCTACCTGTCGGATCTGCAGCATACGCAATGGGCATGCTGTTTTGGCGCAGCCGGCAGCTGGTTTTCTTGGACAGGATCTGCATCCATCAGTGCAACCTCGAAAAGAAGGTGGAAGGCATGTTCAGCTTGGGGGCGATCCTGAAATGCGCAGATGCGCTTTTGGTTCTGTGGGACCCGAGCTACGGGCAGCGCTTGTGGTGTTTGTTCCTTGTTCAATGTTCGGATCCTGTTTGGTGTCTGTGGTTTGGGTTTACCAATAGTTGGAAGTAAAACCCCTTAAACCCTAAACCCCTAAGCCCTAAACCGTAGGACAGGATCCATTTTCAGGGACTTATATCTTCCTTGCCAAGAACAGGGACCAAGGTTCGAATTGGCAGGATTCCTGCACTGCCAGCCGCCCACACAGAAGCCACGCATCGTTCTCAGGCCGAGTATCTTAGGTCCTGTGTTCTTTTCGGCCACGGCTGGAATGATGCTTATGTGCGGGACTCAGCATCTTATGCATGTCAATGGCTTCGATTCATTGCTTCTCGCCTGGCTCATCATCCTGCTTTCGTTCGCTCCCATGTGCTTCGCCGCGCACATCGTGCGATCATACTGCCGCAGTGTTTCCAGGATGCGGGATGAAGTTGCAAAGGTCACCTTGGAAAGTGCGCAATGCTACTGCTGCTCCGTGCAGCATAGGGACCCAGCCTCCGGCAAGGACATCGAGATCTGCGACCGAAGGGTCTTGCGGAGGTGTGTTGTGGAGTGGTTCGGCTCCGTTGAGGCCTTCGAGCATCGCGTCCAGCACGAGGTCTTAGAGATCTTGACAGACCAGCTCTCCAAGAACATCTTCTCGTACCGCCGGATTGCTGAGGCCTCTAGCGTGTTCATGGCATTCTTCTTGGACACTGCCGGCACATCTTGTCGAGATGGAGTCCTGGATGAATGTACAGAAAGAGTGCTGAAAGGCGTGGCTTATTGGCTGGCTGCAGTCCCAAGCATGACGGCTGTGTCGTACCGTGTGGCATGGGCATTGCAGCGCCAACGTATCCATCGAGTGTTGGACATGTTGGTAACCCTAGCTGTGCTGTTAAGCATGGCGCTCACAGCTTGTTCGTATGTCGCCTTCGATATGTGCTTGGTGTGGATAATCCCCGATAGTGCCGTGCTTCGGGTTGCGATCTTTGTGCCCATATCAGCGGCTAGTACTGCTGTAGTATGGCGATGCCTGCCAGTTCGCGTGCCTGCTGCCAGTGTCCCCAGCCTCAGTTCGACGGGTCCACATGCTGCTGAGCAGCATGAAGGCAGCCCACGTGCCCGTAGAATTATTCCGTTGTAATGTTCTCAGCTACGATTTAGTTGTAATGTTTTCAGCTACAACTGCCAATCTGTGGTGCTGAAGGCAGCAGTTTGGCTGGACGTGCGGTTTTGCAGACGTTTGCCTGGCTGATGAATTGGGAAACCTCTGGCACGGTTGGTTTGTTGAGTTTTTGATCCGAGGTGTCTTCCCTGAGTCGACCGATCCTCTGGGCCCAAAACGCTCATAGGAGGCCAAAAGGGGTTTTAGCCTATCGGGGTTTTGTAGGGATTAAAGTTCCCATAATAGGGTTCATATCAAGGAATCCCTACCTCAAGAATTTAAACCCTCTTTTTGGCCTCAAGGCTCCGGACAGCCCTGCCCGCAGAAGATTCAACACCCAAGAGGCCCAAGAGGCAGGCCAAAACACTCTGGCCGTGAACCCTCAGCCGATAACACTAGCTAGCCCCTGGACTTTATAAACCCTGAACATCACAGCCTGCGCCCTAGACTGGACCCTGCACACCCTGGACCTTAAACCCCAAACCCTAAGCCCCTAAACCCTAAACCCTAAGCCCTAAACCCTAAACCTCTAAACCCCTAAACCCTAAACCCCTAAACCCCTAAACCCCTAAACCCTAAACCGCAAGCCCTAAACCCCTAAACCCGACCCTCAGCCCCTTCTGAAAGCCCCTGCGCAGGACGGGACTCGACTCGCCGCAGCACAAGCTCTGGAACGCCTGCCCGGTGGAGTGCTGCTGGTCTTTGGAGTACGGTTTAGGGTTTAGGGTTTAGGGTTTAGGGTTACTTTAATACTTAGGGCTTAGGGTTTAGATGGGTTCAGGGTTTAGGGGTACTTAAAGGGAACCAAGTATGAAATATATAAAAGTCTATACTTTTTCCCGGGTTACTTCAAAGCTCAGGCTGCAGCCCTACTTGAAGGACCTGGTCTCCAAGGCGGGTTGTCCTCGAAAAAAGTAATATAGGGGCCTTAATAGTTACCAATATTTTGGGGATTCCTCATTATATTTTTAGCATAATGGCCCCAAAACCCTATTATATTTATTAAGGCCTCTATATTACATGTGCATGTACATGTCAGTGTATCTGCAGGTGCGTGTGTGCACACGGGACAGCCTTGGCTTTCCCAGCCCTAAACCCTAAACCCTAAACCCTAAACCCCTAAACCCTAAACCCTAAACCCCTAAACCCTAAACCCTAAACCCCTAAACCCTAAACCCTTAAACCGTATTGTAGGGAGTCGGCTGAGTAACCCTGGAAGCTGCCAGGCCTGAGCCGAAACTTCTTACGTTGAGGACCCCTATCCTATAATGAGCTATATAATGGGTATATATATATATATATAATAGCTATATTAAGGGTATCTACCTAGGGGTCCTTATTAAGGGTCCGTCCTTTTACCCTTGGATTCTTACATTGAACCCTGCGCGCGAAGCTTTGAGCGCAAAGCCTCAAGCCTGAACCTTCAACCTTCGAAGATACCCTACACACCACGCTCCCAAACCTTTTCTCCAGACTCTTCCCTCCCTACGACTTGTCTCCAGGCCCTAAGCTCTGAACTCTAAAGCCCGAGCCATCAACTCTCAGCCCCAAAACCCCAACGCCTAAACCCTGAACCCTAAAGCCTAAACCCTGAAGCCTAAACCCTAAACCCTGAACTCTCAGCCCTAAAGCCCAAACCCTAAACCCTGCTAAACCCTAAAGCCTAAACCCTAAACCCTGCTAAACCCTAAACCCTAAACTTTCAGCCCTAAAGGCCCTGTGCGACGGGGACCCGGAGACCCGGCAAGCGGCAGTGGCTGCCATCGCAAAAGCAGATGCAGACCGTGTGGTCAGCGACTGTTCAGGAGAGGTTCGGTTTAAGGCTTGGGGTTAACATGGGGGCCTAAATAATTAGAATAAGGTTGGGGGTTGAAGTATAACAAGGGGTCCATAATAGTATTGGTAAGAACTTAGGCTCTCCTGTGGGGCTCTATAGGGCTCAGGGGTTAGGCTGTAGGGTTGAGCGTCTAGGGCTTAGGCTTGAGCGTGTAGAGCAAAGGGGCCTCGAGTCGACATAGTCAGAAGATGTCCCGCCTTACGGTTGATGATTTAAATCCTGCATTACCCTAAGGACCCTAAACTGTGGGAATTATGGTATGTTCCTTATTATGGGTAATGCAGGATTTATATCATCAACCGTATGGGTAGCTGCATTGCTGCGTTTCTCAAGCTTGGGCTTATGATGTTTCATGTCATGGGTATATCCGCTTGCGGATTGACATGGTGTCGTGTTGGCCATACACTCTCCGAAACCCTGAACCTTGCACCCCCAAATCCCAATTCTGGAAGCCTCAACCCTGCTCTCAAGCAGTCAGGCTTCTAGGGTTTAAGGTTGAGGGCTCTAAGACGATTTGGGCTTACTAAACCCCCCAAACCCAAGAAGCCTGTAGAATCCTCAAAAACGTAGGATCCTTGGAGTTAGGACTTTCCACAAGAGACTCCTCCCTAGTTTCCTTGTAGCGAAGATCCCTTGCAGTGGCCGGGAGAGTCCAGGAAAGCTGGTGGAGCTGCTCTCGCACCAGCATGCAGGAGCCAGGTCCCCAGATAGCTGGACTGCTTTTTGGGGTGTAGGGTTTCGGGTTTAGGGTTTGGGGTTTAGGGTTTAGGGTTTGGGGTTTAGGGTTTAGGGTTTAGGGGTGTGACTTTATAGGGTCTTATATAGGTGGTTGTCAAAATTATGGTCCCTTTTTTGGGTACCCTGAATAATAGGTGCCGTATTAGAATAAGGACCCAAAGAGGGACCCTAATTTTGACAACCACCCATCTGCGTCTTATAACGATGTTACCATGGTTGTGTGTGTTTTTTCAATACGGCCTTTCGGCGAAATCCTAAACCTGAAACCCACGACCCTCGAGTCACCTACTAAACACCACTTAAAGGAGCATGGGGCTCAGTAAGTAAGGCTATAAGTACCTTAATTGGGGCTAAGTAGTTATAAGTAGAGTTATGCTTATTATAACCCTGGTTACTAGGTCCCATGATCCTTTAAGCAGGAACACGACCCCTGAGACCTAAACCCCAGTGCCATCAGCCTCAGGTTGCTTTTGGGCTTGATTTAAAGGGTTGCTACAGAGTCGCGAACCCGTTCGAAAGACGCAGGAGTTTCATCAAACTCTTCATACATGAACGCAGGTCCCATGTTGCCATATGGGTTGCTGGAAGGGTTAGTATAGGTACATAAGTCTTACTATAAGGGTTCTAAGTGGGTTCTGCCGGGCTGCGCGCTGTTCTGAGGAATTCTTAGCAAGCGCCAAGGATGGGCCGGAATGTCGTTACTTTTGCCCCAGCAGGCAGAACCCTAGACCCGAAACCCTTGCCTCTACTACTGTTTGCTTAAGAACACCAAAAAAATAAGAAATATGTTCCTTATGGGGGTAACATAGGGATTATTATTTTCATTTTTTGGAGGTTTCTTAAGCAAATAGTAGTCTAGACCCTAAAACCCTAAACCTTTGAGGGTTCCTTGAAAGGTCAGATTCGGAGGTTGTCAGCCAGCGGAGCTTTGCGGTATTCAGAGGGTCGTTGCCCGGCCACCAGGATTCGGGGTAGACTTGGAGGATGATGGGACTTAGTAAGTAAGGTTATAAGTATTTTAATTGGGGTTATAAATCGATATAAGTAGAGTTACCCTAAATATTGCCCTAGTCACTAAGTCCCATGATCCTTTGTGTAGGGTTTAGGGTTTCGGGGTATAGGGTTATCGGGTTATGGGTGGTTTAAGGCTTAGAGTCTTAGAGGCTTAAGAAGTTTAGGGTCAAGGATCTACAGTTTTGGGGTTTAGGGTTTTGTAGCCATGAGCGAGGCCATGGATTCGATACCAGACCTCGTCGAAGTATCTCGAAGGTTTAGGGCTTAGGGGTTTAGGGTTTAGGGTTTAGCCCACAAAACCAAACCCCAAGCTCCGAGCCGACAAAACCACGCAACCCCAAACCCTGCACCTAAACCCTGCAATCCTAAACCCCAAGCATGGAACCCCTAAGTTCCAAATCCCAATAGCAACTAAATATCATATAACCTATACTCAGATAGTGAATGGGGGGAACTTTAAACTTTCTGGGCTTATATATTAGCTCTGTCTGAAAAAGTTTGAACTTTTTGGAGCCCGGTTGTTGAAGAAGAGAGTATACAACCTGCATAACCCTCACAGACCCGTATAATAGCCCATGAAAACCCCTTACTGTTCTCCCCTTGTCGGTGCACGTGTCGAGGTTCGAGCCTGCACGGCACTGGTCTTTCGCGACCTCAAGGAGAAGGCGAGTGTGATGCGGACAAGCAGGTTCTCAAGGCTTTGTAAGGACGTTTATTGCGCCATTCTCTACAAAACCGAAAGTCGGCACAAAGGCTCGGATCATAAATCCTTGAAAGGGTTTAGGGTTTAGGGCTTCTGGCCGGCGCTTCAGAAAACCCCCGAGCCGTCACCAAACCACTGAGCCCTCGATAGTAGCCCAGAACCGGGTTCGTTGAGAGGGCTTGGGGTTTAGACTCTCAGTTTAAGGGTTTTAGTGCTTAAGGCCTTAAAGCCTTAGAGAGGGCTTGGGTTGAGGTTCAGGGGTTTACCCCGCAAAGCCCAGAAGCCACCAGCTCCGCAAGCTGCAGCTTCGGAAAAGGGTGGCACTGACGAGCCGCCGACACTGAAACCCTAAACCCTAAACCCAGAGCCCATAGAAACCCTGGGTTTCGGGTTTTGGTGTTCTGGAATTTGGAGGTTTTTGGGTTTGGGGTTTGTCGTTTTGAACCCAAGCCCTCAACGCCGCATGCCAAACACTGAGGCCAGAATCGGCTCGTCTATACTATAATGTATTACAAAATACTATAACATGATACCATACAGGATAACATAGTCTAATATCTTCTCCCCCGACCGGAGACCTTTTTCCAGAAGGCCCAAACTCTATCCAGGCTATCGCAGAAACTAAGGTTCGTTTCAAGAAAAGCCCACGGTGTAGGTCCCGAAATCCTGACACCTGCGGGAGGGGCT